GGGACAGCAACGTCATCCAATGCCAGACCCAATTCAATCAGTTGTGCTGGATACGAAGGCCAAAGGAAGGAATAGCAGACCGTCTGTTCCGAAAGAGCATGGCACATTGAGGAAGAAAGACACAATCCTAGGTCAGATGTCGTGGTAAGGATCGAAGCTTGGTAGCATATTGTAAAGAAAGTTGCAAACGATGGAAGTTCGTGGGACTCAGTGTACAAACTCTGGACTGGAGAAGTGCGAAAAGCCCCGGCACTGAGCCGAAGCCCCAGATGGTGAATGGGGTCCAGCATCTTCAAGGCCGAGGTCAGGCAGAACCATAGACCAAAGACCCATAATCCAGTTTGGATCAAATCAGGGCACAATAGATCCTGAGCATAGAACATCAATCCGCTCCCCAAGAGTTGGAAGAGAGGACACGGAGGATGTTCAGAGCCCTTGCACACTTAACAAGTAGCTGCTTGATGTACGGAATGAAGCTAAGCTTACGGTCAAAGATAAGCCCCAAGAACTTTGCCTCAGGGACCACACAAATAACTATATCGCTGAGACGGAGCTCAGGATCGGGGTGGAGACCCCGTGGGTGGCAAAAATGCATGCAAACGGTTTTGGAAAAAGAAAATTTGAAACCGTTTGCAGTGGTCCATGTCAACAACCGATTGAGGGCAGTCTGAAGCTGCCGCTCAATAAACCTCATGTTCGTTGACTGACACGAAATGTGGAAGTCGTCAACATAGAGCCCATTTGCAACAGGCGGAGGAAGATTATTAATGATGGCATTAATTTTAACACTAAAAAGTGTGACACTCAAGACACAGCCCTGAAGGTCTCCAAGTTCCTGTGGAATGGAGCGGGAAAGAGTGGAACCCACACAAACTTGAAATCGCCTGTTCAGTAAAAAGTTTTGAATAAAAATAGGTAGATGGTCATGCAACCCATAGGAGTGGAGGTCCCGCAAAATTCCATACCTCCACGTGGTGTCATAAGCCTTCTTGAGATCGAAGAACACAGAAACAAGGTGTTCTTTCTTGAGAAAGGCTTCCCTGATTGACGTTTCAAGTCGAATCAGATGGTCCATGGTGTAGTGCTGTCGACGGAACCCACACTGGGTGGGTGAGGGGAGCATGTTCGATTTGAGGAATCAAACAAGACAAGCATTAACCATCCTCTCTAGAACCTTACAAAGACAACTAGTCAAAGCAATGGGACGATAATTAGAAGTAATCTTGGGATCCTTCCCAGGTTTAGAGAAAGGGCGGACAATAGCCTGGTGCCAAGCATCAGGAAAAGCATGCTCTTGCCAGATCTGGTTAAAAATAACCAGAAGAATAGCAAGAGAGGCAGAAGAGAGATGGCACAACATCTCATAATGAACATCATCAGGTCTGCCCGATGTACTACCAGACCGATGAAGAGCAAATTTGAGTTTCACCAGTGTAAAGGGGCACTCCTCCATGCACCCACCCATCACCCAACCTGTCATTCCGGTACAAAGAAAACTGACGAAAGGTGACTGTATTGGCAGGTTTCAGAAATTTTTCCTGTAAGGAGAGACACACAGGATGATAGGAGTCAATCAAGGCCTTAATGTCATCAAGATTAGAACAAAAACCTCGACAGTACCACTGTATCAAAGTGGTCATTTTTATGTAGGTTTAGGAGAACAGGGTGGAGAACCCTGCAGTTTACAACCACGCCGTTTTTCTTTACTAGATGTAGGTCGATCGACCTTCATGGATCCTGCCCTTGATCGAGCGGGCAGATCTCTGTCATCAGAGTGAGAATCCAATGACTGAGGACGTGATCAAATGATTGCCCGGTATTTAGGGGCCAAAGAAGGACCCGCACTGACACCAGAGGATGGTGCCTGAGGAGGTTGACCCAGGCAGTCACTGGAAGGAATAATGGGGACAGAGATTGGAGTAGATGTAGACCTATCAACTCTATTATCCATGGAGGGCAGAAGACCTCTCACATGGAGGCACGGAAAGGTCCGTCTGCACTCCCACTGTAGCAGTGGAGTGTAGTGCAGTTGCATATGTCTGAGATGTAGTAGGGCAATAGCTTCCAAGCCGCAGGATATGGGATGTTATTAATAGTCTTCAAATGCTGTCCCTCTTTCTCCTCCACCCACATAGGACAAGACCTAAAGTAAGAGGGGTGGGAACCACTACAATTAATACAGTGAGGGTCCAGTTTGCACTCGTAGGCATCATGGTCCTTGCCACCACAATGAGCACACGTCACAGAACCACGACAAGATGTCTTTGAGTGACCGAACCGCTGGCACTGAAAATATCGGAGAGGGTTGGGAATATAGGGCCACACCTTACAGTTCAAATAACCTGCTTTAACAGCAGCTGGTGGACGTGGTGATGAAAACGTCAAAATCAGAACTGAGGTCGGCACCATAATTCCATCTTGACGAGTGGAGTTCCTTCGAACTGCTGAAACACACTGGCTGGAGAAACCAGCAAGGATCTCTGACTCAGGGATAGACTTCAAGTCCCTCTCAACAATAACTCCTCGTGACGAATTCAAGGAAGCATGGGGAGTAACCTCAATGGGTATATCCCCAATGGCCTTTGAATTCGAGAGGAGTTCACTGTGCTTAGTTGTGGATGTTTCAACCAAGATGTCTCCAGAACGGAGCTTCTGAACTGACTTTGGAAAGCCAGCAAGCCCTTCTGAATAAAAAAGGGAGACATTTGCCCTAAAGATTTATCGGACAGTGAATGCAGGATCAGGAAGCAAGGTACAGGTGTACTTTGTGATAGAGACTGCTGGTCAGAGTCTTCTAAGCATGGTCGTTTACTGATTAGCAGATTTTTAACATTTTTTTATTTGGATTGGGGGGATCCATAATTAAGGAGAAAGATTCAGTGCCCACTGGCCCCACCTGCCATGGAGTCCTATGAGGGGATGCACTACAATGTCAAACAAGGTCACTGCAGCAACACCAGGGTTTCGTAAGCACTATACCCAAACACCAGCATCAGACACGATGTCCACAACACCCGTTGAGAATGCCCAACACTGGTACTCAGTTGATCCTAGCCCGAGGGGAATACTAATGGGATCTCATAGAGAAATCCACATAAGGATAAAACTTCAACAGTCAATTTTTTGCAGACTTGTACCAAGTTTTAGATGTGGCAAAAATCATGCATTACCATATAATCCTCAGTTTGATGGTTTAGCTGAAGAGATGAAACAGGTTGTAAAGGGAATGTTTACAAAGTTTATGAAATTAAGCAAACCTACCATACATCCTAATAGCACACTGTGCCACTCAAGAACAACTGCTTGATTGTTTGTTAAATATCCTGGTTTTCAGATGAGAAATACAGCCTCAAGTTCAGGTATACCAACATTCAACAAAGTATGTATGGTGGCTACATTCTGCAATAATTTATGGATATGAATTTGTGCATCAGCCAATGGGTAAAGTAAATTTCATGCAAGACAGCACTCAAATATAAGTTCAAGCATAAGCAGTTTGGTTCTGGCTGGAGTGATAAGTATTTCACATGTCAAGATCTCAATGAAGTGAACTATACACTATAGCTGTCATATCAGGTGCGCAATTGCACTGAACATATTAAGAAGCTGAAACTCTATTTGAATAATGAACCTCTTGAACACTGGTTGCTCCAGGAATTACAGGATAGTGAGGTTGATGACTCTGAAAATTATAAGAGCAGTGTATCACACGAACTCAACCAAGCCGATAAGGAGGAAGATAATAGCAGTACATATCTGATAGCCTTTGAGGAGTCAGATAAGTAAACACACCAGAGTAGAGGTTTAACTTATCTGATGGTTGGCTAAGATGCTAACATATGCTTCTTTATTACTGCGAATGGATCCAAATGTCTGACTAGAAGTTAGGATGGTGCTAAGGATCAGCAGTAGTTCAGTGGGAAGTCTGCAGGCTTACAATGCTAAAAATCAGGTTTTGGAGTACATGGTGGGCAGAGCACAGACAGTCCATTGTGTAGCTTTGTGCTTAGCAACATCCAAAAATTACACAATAAGAGCACCAAAAACAAGTTATGACCCTTACTTTCCAAGATAACTAAAGGGCTTTCACGGTAAAATATCCTCAAGATATTTTGTATTAGCCACTCATGTGCAACAGATAGGATAAGTGTTTTATTGATAAGTCAACAGAGGAAAGGAGGTGGCATTCCATATTTCCTGAGCTGTTGAGTCATATATAATAACAAAACATTTGTGTGGTGTTACACAATACATCACTTCATCTATCAGGTGAGTTACAGCAGAATTTCTGTGGTACAGACAGCACAATATTCACTAGATAAACACAACTGGGATAGCTGAGATCATCAGATAATGTCCTACAACACTGGAGCTTTATACAATAAAGTATATGAAATGAGATGGTATAATTTTTGGATATACACTCACCTTTGTAGTTCTGAAATTATTTAGTGTAACAGTACATCTGCAAGTGATGTAGAAATATCATTATTGAAATTCATCTTTACCATTTCATCTTCTGATAAGAAAAAAAGGGCCATATCAACTCATTACCTGCCCTATTCAACTTTCCAACAGAGGCCACATTAATATGAAATATAAAATGACTAACAAATTAACATGACACTTACCTATTTATTAAAGAAAATAAACCATGACAAAAAATTTCATTTATTAAAACGACCAGTTAATTTATTACATATCTTGTTTTATAATTTTCAATAAAGAAGTCACATTCAACAAGTTATTTGTGAAGTGGACACATTAATTCTATAATTGGCTTGTTTATTTTATTTGTTTATTTGTTATGAATTTTGCACAAAGCTACATGAGGGCTATCTGCGGTAACCATCCCTAATTTAGCAGTGTAAGACTAGAGGGAAGGCAGCTAGTCATCACCACCCACTGCCAACTCTTGGGCCACTCTTTTACCAACAAATAGTGGGATTGACCATCACATTACAAAGCCCCACAGCTGACAGGGCGAGCATGTTTGGTGTAATGGGGATTCAAACCCACAACCCACAAATTGCAAGTCAAGCACCCTAACCACCTGGCCATGCCGGGCCAATTGGCTTGTTCCATTCCTTTAATATTATAAAAGACACTACACTTTTCATCATTTCACATGGTCTATTCTTTAAAAGACCAATTATTTTCTATCCTCTCCCATTATTTTAGTAAAATGGTTGCATTAATGCTTGATTTGATCTTTTCTATCATTTAGTAAAAAGTGCCACATTATTCATTACTTATCCCATTCTATTATTTTTTAAGATACATTAATTGATGGCTTTTGGTTTTGATTTAGTAAAGTTGACACACTTAATTACTTGTCCTGTTCTATTATTTTGTTAAAAATGACATATTAATTCACTCTCTATTCTGCACATTAAATCATTATTTTCCTGTCCAATTTCTTAGTAAAGAAACCACGTTAATTTATTACTTGTCCTGATTATTCTATTGATAAAGAAGTCATATTAAAACATTTCTTCATGTCTTATCCTTTTAGCAAAAGGATACATTAATTCATTAGTAATCCTAGCCTACTACTGCAGTAAAATTCTTTATCTGTTCTGTTCTTCTTCAGTAAAAAGTCAGTTAGATCATTAGTTTCCTGTTCTATTCAAATAAGTATATGAAAAAACTGTAGTCAACAAAATTTAATACAGTAGTACTACGACTTTTATTATAGTTATATAAGCTAAAATTCACACATAACACTCTACTGTATTTAAATATTCCATTCAAATATAACTTTAAAATTAAACCCACATAACATATCATATCATTTTATTAGTTAATTCACAATTTTACATAAAAATTCAAGTTATGAGCATGCCACAAATATAGATGAAACAGATCAAAGCATAACAAACTTCTTAACAATTAACTCTTGATTACGCAGATAATACTTCACCCAACTAATTCCATAACTATATTAGAATTTGCTAGGAACAAATAGTTCATAATTTTACAACACACATATTATAATCTGTTCATGTTCTGTATCTTTCTATACCAACAAGTCATTACTCCAAGTTAGCAAGTAGTGGATACCAAAAAGCTAAAAAAAATCATTTTTGATTTCATACTTTATATTGCCTGATTACTGTACACAGTTGTATACCTTCTAGAACACTGTAGTTTTTAGATAACTGGTTAACTTTCACCTCATACTTTTCATGACTGGAGTTTCCTTATCTTGCATAATAACAGAATTGCAAGGATCATGAAAAGGGACTATGGTGTATAGGGTGGTGGTGGAGGATGGCCTTCAGTTTGATGTAATTCCCTCCTGTAAGGCCATTGTTCTGAATGAGAAACCCTAACCGAGAATGTTTCTGATCCATCATAGTCATCAAGCAGGCCTCCTCCATCTCCACGGTCATCATACAATGGATAACGACGAAGTAAATTAGCTGCTGAGGCAAGGATTGCCACGGCTCCTGCACCAGTAATCAAATAGTAGCTAATATCAAATTTTACTTCTATTTTTGATTCTCTGTCTGTCTTTGTTTTTTCTTCTTGTTGCTCAATAAGCACAGTGCAATAGTAGCACACACCCACTATGGCGACACAAAAAAGAACTGAAATGACAGAGAATGCACAAGTTATTTGTTATAAAACCAAATCCATTTTATTAAATTTATCAACTATACTGCTAAAAATTACAAACAGCAGGTACATTATTAGCATCAAATAAATCTCTGAAACGAATATCTAATAATAAAGGAAACAATGAATCATAATATAAAACTATATTTGTACTATAAAACTAAACAGTAACAGAAAACACAGCTTTAATCATAAAACAAAATCTACATAAGATCAACCACATTAAAGACTCCAATTTCATACAAGGTCAGCAAATATATGCCCATACATTATCAGACATACTGAAAGCTGCTGTGCAGATCTTTGTGTATGTTATATGAAGATGATTTTAGAGCCTCTCCGCACTGTAACAGTCAGTCCAAATATCTTGTTATGCTCTACCCAATAAACACGTATTTTGACAATTCCACCTTGCATGATAATTTCCATCACAAAAGCTTTCCACTTCTACCTGAAAGTCTTCTATAATCCATCTGGCATGAGAGAACAATGGTTTCCAAGCATCTGTTTCAACAGTTCAAAAACAAGGATAGCCATAGGCACTGCATCCTTTAACTTAATGGGTGTATCTTTGTAGGGAATGGCATGTACATCTGTTTCATTCTTCAGGTATGTGACAGTTGAACAAGAGGTATGATTTAAAGCCTTATCTTAGTGAACCTATACCCTGTTGGTCACATTTCCATACATAGCCAGGATTTCTGTGCGTTACAAAGGGCCTGGAATATGGTTTTGATTGTAAGCAGCATTCACATTGACTTATATATATAATCTCCTTATTCCTTACAGTGTCCAGCAATGATTGTGAATCTCTTCAAAAACATTTTGCAATATGTCATGTATCACTTTTGGAAATTCCTTCCTCCCAACTGACTATTATAAAAACAGCACAAGACTTGTTACATTTATCAAGGTGCATATGCTTTGTTGAGTGTCATCATATACAGCCATTTTTCTAGGTACCCAGCTAGGTACCATTCATACAGCTTTCAATAACTGGACTTCCTTCCCTAGATATGCTCTGGTAGATATGCTCTGTGTATAGATGATTTTGTTACTTTTACAAATGTAGATCTTCTTGATTGCATTGCATACTGTTGCCTGTAACACATGGATGGCTTTTGCCATTTGCCACTGACTTTTGTGTTTGTGGATCCTCACCTTTTACAAGATGCCATGCTTTGATTACCAGGGCTGGCATACAACTTGTTGCAGGTCTCTTTCTGGATGGTCCTGTTTCCACAAGTTGATCTATGTTCTTTTGTCTTCAAATGCTATTAAGTGCAAGATATATCCCCATCTTGGAAATACTAAATTCCCAATTTTAACATATCTTTATGATCTGAATGTATGAATATTTTGCACTGGAAAGTGCTGCTGCATATCTGTCCCTAATGGAATAAATCACACTACCTACAAAATGCCAAACAATGTTGAAATGTAATTCTGACACATGCTGTTCCACAGTAACTTTTATATATATAGGCTGTGGTTGTCAAGTAACTAGTTTATTTGAATATTCAAAATCCTTTTAACACAACATACTCAATCCTCTATATAAACATACATACAGCTTTGCACACTATAATTGTTTTGGTGAAGAGCACTTTGATCCCTTTTACAGGGAAGATCTGTTTCAGTATAATGTCTCATACACTAAGCCTTGGAAAAAATAACATTTAAGTTATTAATGTTATGTGAATAAGAAGAAAAAGTTCTTACCGTTAAGTGTTAACAATCAATATCATATATATTCAAAACAAAGATATGTGTATTTAACCCTAAAATTGTGAGTCAATCATACAGTATAGAAATTGCCATTTTTTGGTGGCAACTTTTGCAAAATTTAGGGTTACATCTCTTCCTTCAAAAAATGCAAGAGTACTCCCCAAATGTTCTTTTGGTAATGGTAAAAGGTATTTCCAAAGCAATATTACTTTGCTTAGGGCCATTCTATTTTGACCTTGATTTGCAATGTAAAAATGGTTTTCAACATGTTCATGACATCTGGAATGCTTTTTGCTTTAAGTAGACAAAAAAAAATTCTATAAGCTATTTCTTATGGCTTTAATTGGTTGAGGCCTGATCAATCATATCTAAGCCTGTCAATCTCTGAATGATCTGAGACAATGAAAGTGGTTACAATGAGAAAAACAAAGTATTTTATTCTTACTGTTTCTTCTGCTATACAATTTTCTTGTTACCTTTTGATTTTATTATAATGTTCTTGGATGACCACTCTTTCTCATCATTTTAACACTTTAACAACGATGCACTTTTTAAACTCCTTTCTGCACATGTTACTGAATTACACTCAAAATTTAATTAAACCACTTTACTATCAATGTATTTTAATGAAATTTTTATAAAGTACATTATAGTTCAAAGTTTTATATTATCTTAGTTTTTATTCCTTTATTTCAAAAGAAACATTGAAAGCAATAATGAAATCCCTCAGTTGTGTGTCACATGACGTACGAGCTATAAACAATGTTAAAATTTAGTGAAATATAGCTTGAAACATAATTGGTATTTATGTACATGTAAGTCTAGACAAGAACATAGTTTACTCGTTCTTTTGACATGTACGTTTCAAAGTTCTTTCACTGAATGTGACTGAAACAAGAAATAAATTTTGTCAACCCCTGACAGATGCCATGCCCACCTTCTATAAATAACATTGAACTTTAGAAGTTACATGTACTTTCAACATGTACATGTTTATGGTCATTAGAAAGAGTTCCTTTCACACTATAATCCAACAATAGTTATTTTGAAATTGGCACCAAATTGTCATCCTCAGGTAGATGTAACTGTTCGTACTATTGTTGGCTGCTTTGTTCATGACAGCACTTCAGTTGTTTATTACCTAAATATTTTATAGTTAGAAAGACAGTTAAATTGTTTCTAGGTTTTACTTTTACATTTCAGTTAATTATGTATTATTTATGTTTTAAGATTCATATTTGAAAGGTTTAATAATTCTGTAAAATAACCAAAGCTTAGACTCATTCTGCAAGGCTTACATTAGCAAGCATGTATAAAAGATTTTGCAAAGTTATCTCTGCTGTTCATAATTCTATTGCCCAAGGGTACCCATTAATGTGTGATGAGATAAATAATCAACAGTAAAAAATAGGAAAGAAAAATAAAACAATAAAAATAAACTGTGACTGAAAAGGTAAAGATGTGAAATTATGCATATAACCCAAAATAAGATATTTTAAGATTATTCAATGAAGAATTAAAGGTATGTACATATTTCTCTTTCTTAATTCTAAGCATTTCATTGCACTATATGTTGATGATAATAGCTAGAGTTAGTGATATGGTAGAAAAAAATGGAAAATAAAACAAACATTTACCTTAAAAACTTATAATATTCATTTAAAAGGTTCTAGAGATCATGCAAGTGGAATGTGAAAACTGTAAGATAATAAATAGTATTTTTATACTCAAAATGAAAATCACCTTGCAGGTGAACTATTCAGAGTCTGAATGCAAATAAGTACATTAAATAACAAATATTTATTAGAAATGGTAGAAAAAAATGAAAATTAAATATTTTATTTTTCTCAAATTACATACTTTTATAAAAGTTCTTGTCAAGTTTTAAACAATTTTATCCACTACTTTTGTTACTGGAACAAAGTTTAATGAGAATTACATAACATGGTTCTCTCTAAAGCACATTGTCATTTCAGGATTAACTTCAACAGGAATCCCATCATGACTGTATCCACATACTTCCAACCTTGCACTTACAACTGACACTATTGTAAGAGTAACTTTCAGATATTTGCCCAGTGTATATAGTCTATTAAGTACCAAAAACAGGTCTTCTGTAGGTAAATTATTTTAAAAATGATAATAGACTTTTACCAAAATCTTAACACAATTAGAGAAAGTATTCATTTTTCAAATGAAGAGTTCTCTACAAGAAGAGAACAAATGAGAACAAAAGGTATTCTGTTTCAAAGCCTTAATACAAAATTATCATTTAAAGGTAGTTTTAGTGCTTTTTTTTTATCATTTACTGGATACTGTGATCACCAAAAACAGCTACTAATTTCTGTACAATTGACTCCCAAGATAAAAGTTAACTAGTACTTTTGCAGTTTTGAAACCATTAATCAAAATAATATGCCCAATATTTAAAATAATTTTTGCAATGCACATACTTATATTTGAAAATTAAGTAGGTGAAGCCTTATGCTGAAAAAAAAAATGGGTCTGTGAGAAGAGATTTCAGACCTGGTTTATTTCTGTTGGTTATGTCTGATGTTAACATTTTCCAACACTGCATATCTCCACTCACAATTTCGAAATTCAGTTGTGTCCTGTATATGCAGAATTTTTCACTCATCACTAGTCTTGAGGCTCCCACCTAAATCTCACATTTCCACATGATATTTCTGATTTGTTACATACAAATGAGCATCCACTAATAGGAGTGCACTTTCTTAGTGCAGCTGACTCCCTCTATACTGTTTGTTCAATCATCACTTCAACGTTAGGCATGAAAAGATGCACCAGAAGTGGAGAGGAAGGGTGGGAGGTGTGAGAGGAGGTATTTATCAGAAATACATTTCTAGAGTTGGAAAATGTTAAATGTCGATACAAAATGAAACCTCCTCTCACATATAGCTATAATTCCACATTGAAGTGGTGGAGGGACTGGTGCAAAATTTACCTATGTGTAGTGTGCCTAAGGCATGCCATATCACACATGGTGGGTCATCTCCAATTCAAAACCAGGAGGCCCCAGGAATGTGTCATCCAGGCCACAATAGGAGGAAGGTCCCCACCATCTTTACCTCAAACCCAGTGAAGCAGAATATGAATTTATCATCCGAACGGCAACTGAGTAGACTTATATTGGCTGGTCCTGTGTCAATCCAACACCAGACCACCCATGAACTCGACATCCAGGCAGCAGTAGTATGGAGAAAAGCCAGTCTAAGGAGTGAACTGTACTACATGGATAGAACATCACTGCCTTACGCTTTACTGAGTGGAATCAGTCCCACTAAGGAGGCAGTCTCCATGGTCCACCACCCCAGCAGCTAGAAAATGGTAAGTGGCTAGGACTTCCATGCTCCACTAGAAGAAAAAAGGGGGATGAAAGTGCACTGGGGAGCCAGGAGGAGCACATCACCATAAGAAAAGTTGACCATAAAAACCCTATTTTTTAAAAGCATCACAGCATCAGGTTCTAAACTAGACAATGGGCAGGGATCCCCTGCTTGCTTTACTCATGATAGGTCCATGAGTGGGTACAGTCTGTATTGAGCCTTATTTAAAAGAATGAGCTCTACGAGGATACCTCAAGAAGACTTGTAACATCCCATTTCATGAGTAAGTGCTATATCATGCTTTTATGGCCCTACACTGTGCAGATTTTGGATAAATGTTCCCTGGCAGGTAACACTTGCCACTGAGTGGGGTCCTGTAAAGCATCGGAGGGCCCTATAAAAATACGATAAAAAGAAAGAGAGCTTATCCAGTAAGAGGTGTAAAGAATAAAAGAAACAGGAAACAAGGGTGAAGTAGTGGAAAAATGAAGGGTTAGGCCCTCTGAAGAATATGCTACACCCAATGATCGGCCACAAACAGAAGTCAAAGATCCACAAATCAAGCTAAACAGGACTCTTACTGTCCCTGAAGCTAGAGGACAGTCACCTCTGAGACTGATGAAAGAATGTTGATGCACATCCTCAATATATGACTCAAGAGAATTAGGAACTCCACTAAAACCACCCTGGTAGGGAAAAGAAGCCAAAAGAAGGTCTCTGAGATAAGAGGGAGGCAAATTCACCTGAGCAAGAAGGGTGTTCCTCCCAACAGATCCTGGCAACAGAGCAACCAAGTAAGAAGTGAAGGAAGAGGAAAAACATAAGTCAGACAAAGGGGTTGAATAAAGAATGCAAGGAGAAGAATCATACAGATTTGGAAAAAGTATGTAAGAAACCTGAGAAATTATATCCAAGAAAAAAGGGAAGGCCTAGAAAGGTCAATGACAGTAGTTGTAGAAATATTGACAAAGACAAGAGGTCGGAAAAGGCTGTCAAAATCCTTGTCTTCATGAACTGGATTCAGAAGTTGAGGAATATCTATTTCTTGCTCAAAAGAAGGTCCAGGCTGAATGAAAGATTCAATCTCCCATCATTGAATAGTCATCACCTCTTTCATGTTGTCCCATGCCATACAAAGTGGAAGTGACATTAACTTGAGAATTCATAATGTGGAAAGAAAAGGGCCCATAAAATGTGCACTTGCAGAAGTATTTGAAAATGAAGTTGTAATATTAAAGTTCAAAAATAAACATTCCACTACAATGGTTTCCATTTGAGTAGATAAATCTACAAGAAAAATACCAATTTCAATAAAGCTCGTAAGGAAAAAATATGTATACAGCAGTCAGATGCACCAGGAGAGTGTGTGTTGTACTCCTACTTGGTGGAGGATTGTCACATTCTCATTTGCATGTAACAACACAGTAATATAAATAAGTTTTGGTGGGAGCCTCAAGGCTAGTGGTGAGTGAAAAAGTTTGCATATAGAGGGCAGCACTGAATCAGGAAAGCTATATGTAAGAAGAGGGTACATATCATATCAGAATAGACATTTTGAAAACAGCTTAATTTTTCACCTTTGTAACCTAGTGAGAAAAAAAATCAATGTGTTGTATCACACATGCTGTTATAACTGTCAACTAGAGATCTTGGCAGTCAGGTAGGTCTTATTGACTAATGAAATGGAGAATGAGTATACAATATCTGTTAACTGTTATACTATACACTAGATTTTGGCAATCAGGTTTAGGTCTTATTGACTAACCAGGAGGAGGTGAGTTTACAGTATTAAATGTCTGTTAATTCTAGCAACTTAAATGTAGAGAATGTTAGTACCTGACAGGTGTTACTAATTAACGAATAGAAAAAAGCACCATGCTCATAATAATATATGTGTACAAACTGAGGCACCTGTCCTATGTCTGGGGCATAGGGATTGAATGTAAGGTGTAAAGTAATAAATTAAATCAAGAATATGTATTTATATTCATAATTTATTTCCCAAATAATTCACTTTACAACTTTTTTTATTTTACACCTACTTTAACCCACATTACAGAAATGGTGTTACAATTACTCTACTTTATTACTTTTACTAATCCCTCTCTACAGCTTATGTTTGTTGATACTCTGAGTGCTTCTTGATAGACCACATTAGAAGTTTTCTTCCTTCCTGGGCCAAAATAGCAAGATTTGTTGGTGATCTTACTCATGAAAACCAAACACAGAAATGTAAAAAGCAAAGGGTTTTCAGATGTAGTCTTGCCATTTTAAGGGTCTGACTGTGCTTTCGTTGCCATTTTTTCCTGGTAAAAATCTGTTTGATATTCTTAATGAAAAACATAATACTTTCCATGAAAAATTTGTCTAAGACTGTGGGGTCATTAACTAAACAAACATATTTTTGCTGTGGACATGGCCCAAGGTGGGTGGGGTAATAATTGGCCTATGACATACCCCTTGGTCCAATATATCATCCTATCAAGTCTGGTTGAGATTGGTCCAAGGACCAGTCATTTATGGCCTCTTTAGTAATCTTTGGGGTAATAGTCTCTTTCTCTATATATAATAATAATAATACAAACTAACTTCATAAAAGTACAGTAGTAAATAAGTCTTACTGTTTAACTTTGTTTGTAAATAGTTAGCGTGTGAGTAGCAAATGTCCCTATAAGGTTTGTCACAGTTACTTATATGCTTTTTGGTCAAAAATGGAAACCAAATTGCAATATAACTGTATAATTTATAGTCCTAAGCTAAGATATATAAAAAACAAACATACAAGTTACTGTATGAGACCCAACAGTTTGTCCTACATAAACCTACCTGTTATAATGCTTCCCACAGCATTTCTTCTAAAAGCCTTTAGCCACTTGTTTACTACACCAAGAGTATCAAAGAAGAACTGTACGAGACTGAATAATATAGCCAAGAAGGTGAAGGCAATGTTTGTTCTCAAAAGGCAAATCACAGTAGAGGTAACACATCCTGCCAAATCAGAAATATAAGGAAACACAAGTAACTTTCAAGTACTTTTACAAGTGAATACAAGGTACATTAACAAGGAAATATCATAAACAAATTAGCACTACTATTATTTTTATTACAATTTTCATAAAAATACTCTGAGGGCATCCCTGAATGTTCAGGAAATAATAAATTTCTACATTTTAAATATCATTAAATGACTTTTGTTATCTTGTATATCCGAATACCATTTTGATATAATCTCCATATAAAGATATTTTATTGAAATGTATCATCAGACGGTTAATCTTAATAAGTTATACATACACTTTACATGCATTAACAACATAACAAATGACTTTTGACTTCTGTTCCTGCTCTAAAAGATTTAGAAAATTCCCCAAACTCCTAGCACTAAAAATAAAAAAAATTGGTTTTACAAAACAAAAACTGAAAAACAATTTTGTACAATCTACCTGCTTTGACCTCTTTTTTTAAATTTTTTTTTCAATGATAACTGTATTATTAGCCACGGCGTAGTGGCTCACAGAATGGTTCTGAGTTTGTTTCTTTTTTAGTACAAACTTTTAGTTCATAAATCCCTTATCCTTGACCAATTGGAGATCTAATTACAGTTTTGGACTCATGAAGTCAAACACTTTCAACTGATGTATTTAACCATGCCCAAGGTCTCATAGATTAACTTACTCTAATCCTGCCTAAAATAATTTCAAGTGCTGTGGCTATTCAGGATTCCCTCTTGTTTTTAGCCTAAAACATGTATTTTGAAAGTTCAAAAATGACCTAAAAGCTTTAGATTTTGAAACTTTACCAGGAGTGAAAAAAAAAAAAAGTCTTTGCAGGAGGTTTCAGTTTTATGTCATTTTTTTTAACTTTTACAATTACTTCATTATGATCCAAGATGGCATCTTACACATACTTGAAAAGGACACATTTTAAATGATGGAACATAATGTTCTTTGGCAAAATTACAAATGAAATACATAATTAGACATAAAGTATGAAGATGGCTTTAATGGGTAGTGAAAGAAACTATATTAAAATGTACAATGTTTCGACAAGCTTATGTCATCACCTGGTGATGACATAAGCTTGTAAAAACATTGTAAATTTGTAACAAAGTTTTTTTCACTACCCCCTTTAAGCTGTCTCTAAACATATTTTCTAAAATGCGAGTTCCTCATCAAATAATTAAGCTTTATAAAAATCTTTCAGTCTAAGAAAGAGGGAATAACTGGCATTAAATAAGACCTAAGTTAAGTTTTTACTTACTGTTTTGCTTACATTATTGCCACATATGAATGTCTAACTATGACTAAAATTTTATGTATGGATGGGAGAGAAAATATCACTCATGACCTTGTTAATACAAATAACATGTAGATGAAGTGTATCACAGATACCCTTCTGGTGATATATTTTAGAAAAGTTTCACTTCTCTCAGCTCTACCAATAGAGGCAACAGCATTAAATGCACAGATCAAATCCACAGTAAGACATTAGCACTATAATTCACACAACATTGCCAAAGCTCTGAAAGTATCTAACACTTTGTTTTATCTATTTTTACTATGAAAATACACAGGTATAAGTAAGAAACTTTGTTATGATTTATAATTAGATAATAATGAGACTTCCAATTAAAGATTTTATACATGCTACACTGCATGTTACAGCAAAGCCTTCAATTTGTTACAATATTATTAATACCACCAATAATTATTATACAATTTTTTGTAAGCATCCACTTCTTAAATTAAAAAAAACACACTGTGATTAACTTTTTTTTGCCTCATGTTAATACGTAACTACCAAGACAGTAAATTTTACAGCTTTTTAACAGAAATCAAAATATTTTACAAATTCTTTGTCCTGCTCTAAAAGTGAAAGCTACTAGAGATGTTGTGAGAAACACTCTTGTTAGGTTTATTTATTCTTTTAAAATGGCATAACTCTGACATTATTATTGGTCAAAAGTTCCTTGATGGACATGAATTTTAATTCCTTTCAAGAAAATGATGCAACAATCCACCAAAATTGGTTTAAGAATCATCAAAGGATCTCAATGTGACTAAGCATTTTTGTGATAAACTTGAGCATCATATTTGCTACCATAATCTTGTTCTAACATCTGTGAACTGACTGCTGACCATACTCCTAATGAATGGACAGTTTGTGGGATCTACGCTTCATCAAGTTCAGGATATTATTGTGGTAAAAAAAACCAATATTACTTGAAAGAGATACTAATAAAGTAGTCAGACAGAGTAATTAAAAACAAAAGACAAATTATAATGGGCAACAAAAAATTTGCTCCTGAAGAAAACTCAAGTGATTCAAGGTAATTTGATGGTGCTGATATGAAAAATGTAGTCAGAATTTGTCCATCACCTCTATAGTTTGAGGTATTGTAATATCTCAATATGTTATCAGCACTATGTGAAGTACCATGCAATCAACTCAGTACAATAGATTTGTTGCTGTGAAATTAGGTTTACTTGGACAGTTTAATGGATAAAAGGCATACATTTTTGATAACATCAAACATTGACTGTATTGTATAGGTGTAAAATTCCAAATATAATGTTTCTATATGCTAATCATTAGTGATATAATTGTAGTGAATTGCACCACTTTTGCTTCATTCCCATGCTCACCTGCTCTGCCCTGGAATCACAAAATCCATATGTGCTCAGTTTGCTAGAAAATTCAAGAAGTCCCTCGACTGAACATAAAATGGGCAGAGTCAGACACCTCTCACTCATTCAGTTGGTTATTTGGTATCACTCCACGCACAGTCAAAACAAAGTCCGATCTTCTTTCTTGCATCATACCCACGATACAATCAAATTCTCCAATTTTTTTATTTATTTTTTTTTTATCTTTTAGACCCTTGTTCTGTACACATAAATTCTTTCTATTTTTCAGAAAATCATATGAAATGTTGGCTGCCTTTAGTTCAAGTAAAGTCCAAAAGTGCAAAAATCACCCAAACAGTTTCTGCTACATCTTCGGAAGTATATTACATTTTCACGAAGGAAAAACATCACACACAAGGGATAGGTAGCTTACTACCATTATTTTGTGTGTAAAATTGGTGCCCAATAAAAACATTGGACTCCACATGTGTGTTATCCAGTTTGCACATCTGGATTGACACAGTAGCTAAACAAGAAGAGAGCCAATATGACATTTGCTATTCCCATGATATGACCTGAGCCCAAAGATCATCTAACTGACTTATTTTTTGCACGACTAATGTTTCTGGATATTCAGGCAAAATAAACAATACATTAAATATCCAAATATGACATCTGAAGTGAAACCAATATCTCATGATGATGGTCTTCCAGTGCCCACATTGATCAAGAAACTGAAGTTATCCTGTGAAGAAGACAATGAATCATCTTGATTTAGTAATTCCATTCCTGTGGCATCTCAACATAAACTGCCTCATCTGATCACACAAGAAGAGCTAAATGATCTGATTCATGACTTGTCTCTATCAAAGTAGCATGGGGAACTTCTTGGCTCTCATTTACAGCAATGGAATTTATTAACTCCAAGAATAAGAGTTTCAATTTACAGAAGTCGACATGCAAAATATTTTGTGTTTCCGTACAAGTGTTGATGAACAAGTGGAAGAATTAGGTACTGAACATCATCCTCAAGAATGGAGACTTTTTTATCGACTCATCTAAAGTTAGTCTGAAAGATGTACTTTTGTACAATGGAAACACTAAGCCATTGATTCTTGTTGCTCATGCTGTGAATATGAAAAAACTTATCAAAGCATGCAGATTATGCATTCCTAAATTCAATTTTCAGTGAATAAAGTTATTTTCATGATATATAAGAACATTTTGAATAAATTTATCATAACTCGAAAATTAGAGGTGATCAGTAACTTTCAACATGATTTTTAGAATCTGCATCATCAAATTATTCAGAAACATTTGCATTTTTTTCTAGTAGTAGAGAAAATTTTTTGTTGTTGTCCAGTGTTGTGTATTCAGTATTTTGAAAGCCAAGACATATTTCTATAAGAAAAGTAGAGAAAACAAATGTTATCATAGTTAAGATTTTCCTATTTACCTAAATCTACTTCTCATTAGTAATAAATGATGGATACATAATATTTTGAAGCTATATGTCCTTATATTTAATCTAAAATACTACATAACATTACTTCTATGTTATGTGTATGAACATACTTCTCATACTTGTATATGCAGAAGTGATATTAGTGTTATGTTACAAGATAATTATTCCATATAATGATACAAGAGCTCAAGAAATGCAGTTATATAGTATATTCTCATATAAAAGTGACAAAATATCAGTATTATCATTTGCTTTATACACTATGGTAGAAATACTCATGAAAAAAACATGCATCACTATTATATGTAATTTTACAAAAAATAAAATAATGATAAAATACTGGTACCATACTGTTACATATAAAATACATCATTCATAAATTAATAAAAGCAATAAAGTACCTGTATTAGGTCTATATAAGGTAGATGTTCCTTGTTTTGAAATTGGGTAACCCTGATGTGATATTTCAGTATGATGAGATGAGAAAAATTCCTGAACACCAATATATTTCCCATCACATTCTCCACCTTTCAAATAAAACCAGTGAGGCTGAGCCAGTGCTGTGGCTAGTGCTGCTATCACGACAATACTAAAGGCTGCAGCAATAATGTTACGTTCTCTTTCCTTAAGATGCCATTGGCGTCTTAACCACAAGTGGCTTGGAGCAAGCCCATAGATATCTGTTATATCTCGTAGGACTTCCCTATTCATGTGGTATCTTCTAGAATCCATAAGAAATATATGCTGAAAAGCAACAAAAATTGAAGTATTACTCTCTTTCACTATATGTATATATCTAAAATAAGATAGGATATGTGAGGGTAAAAAAAAAGACTTTTGTAACAACCATACACAAAGAGTACTTAAATGTAGATCACATACTTATTTTATTACTGCCTTCCTTTCTTTTAACTCGTTATTATAGGTTACATTTATTATCTTACTTTACATCTAGTAAGGAACAATGCAGTTTGTAACTTTAGAAGAACATCTGCAAGTATTGGAAGAATTAAAAGCTATAAGCTATCTCACTAAACACACCACATAATTACAATTTTACATACAAGCATGAAAATGCTTAATTCATTGATTGCAGCTGCTCAAAATATGCATGGAATTTTTGCAAGCCCTATACTGTATATGGCACTCGCATCCAACTGCCAGAGGCAGAATGTACCCTATACGGTGAATCAGCAGTCAATGGGTTAAATTACATTGTAATTCCAGATTTATCATATATTTAATTTAAATATAATGGATATGAGACCAGTATACATTCAAATAGTAGATTACGTAAAATCTAAAAGTAAAAGCTAGATTTCAGAAACATAATACAGGTCAACTCTAGATCATTCAAAAGTTCTTTCCTCTGCATGTATTCACTTGAGCACAAGAACTTATCTGACACCTATTAATCTATTTAAAACAGTTAAAAAATTTTTTAAATCTTATGAAGTTAGCTTGATTTTATTCATAACACTAATTATCTTTAGTCAAATAAGTTTTCCTGATAACTTTCACAAAGTAGTTGCATGAATGTTTTTAAAGAACACGTTAATAAATATCTGATTATAAATGCACCTCAAAGAAAAAGCACTATGATGTAGGAATTTGGACCCTCATTTTGGACAGTTACTATATTGTAAATGGAATTACAATTCCTCATTTATGATTACATTAAAGGTTGTAGTTGTGTTTTGTAATATTACTTACATTATAAATGATATCTATGTCTTCCCGAAAACAAATAGTTTTTACAAAATAGTTTTATTAATGTTTTTAAAGTATACGTATCAATAAATAATCTGATAATTAAATGCACTGCAAAGGAGGGATGCTATAAGGCTGGAATTTGGCTCCCATCTCTCATTTTAGTGAAACTCTCTTGATATCTATTTGCCATTATATGCTAGCTAACTACAGTACTTATTTTAAGGTTAGGTTAGGTTAGGTTTAGGTTAGGTTAGGTACCTGAAAAACTTAAGTTAAAACATGGAGACCCTCAGACTATTAAAGTAATCACATTGACATAGTGAAGTCTATCAGATTAACATTATGGAATCAAAGAAAGAGTTATTACAAAAAGAACAAGATATATTTGATATGTTTTCATACCACATATGCACATTTTATATACAAAGTCACTATCATATTTTGAGCATATTAATCACAGTCATTGTCGGAACTACTTCAGATACAAGTAACATCAATGACATTTTCTGAGACCTTAAGATGGTATATCAATGGTCTAACTGATGTATCTTGCATGCTCAAAGTACCATAAAAAGAGATACAACATGTCCACGCCACCCTAGGTCTACCCTTACAGAAGAAAACCTCATAAAATCTGTCCTGATCCACGTGTTCCACAATGTACAACTTGGCCTGTTTAGCTGACACCATATTTGCGAGTGTATAAGATGACCCTGGATTGTTTGAGGGAATTAAGTGCATTTCTTTGAGGTTTGGTGTGTAGGATAACCTTTATTGTGAAGCAAGTCTAGAATGAAACTTTTCTAAAGAAATTCTTAGAAGTTATTTTTAAACTGTGCTAACACTTGCTTAGGGGTAAACAGTACAACCACAAGTGTAATTTTTTTTATGTTCTTTAAATGCTACAGACAATGCAGCATAACTTAAGTCACAAACATGTAATGAACAACTTTACAAAGTTTTCGTCACAGTTGAACTCTTTTTTTATTACAAAATATACAAAACCTTAAGATATAGTGATCTACTATAAAAACATGTTTCCAAAATCAGTGTACGTTATAGAAACTAACTGTTCTTTGATGAAACGTTAGCAAAATTCTCTTGATTAACTGTAACTTCTGGTTATGAAAAATCAAGACAAATGATTCAATTACATATACGTTACTATAACACAGTAGGTGGCACAATGTCAACGCACTTACTCAAAAAAGCAAACAAAAGTAAAAGAACAACATAGTTTTGACTAACTATGCTATTAACCAGAGAGTTCTTACTGGAACTCTTATCTTTAAACCCGTGTATAAGACGAAGGGTAAAATCAGACATTGTTTTAAGAGTAAAAGTATCATCTTATACACCAGCAAATACAGTACACACCACTGCAGAGGTTACTGTATTGCAGAGGTCGTGTATCATTTGTTTATATACAGGGTTGTTGCTCTTTTGGACACAACACTGCTGACAAGATCACAGTTTTTTTTTATCAACACACGATTGATTTTTGCCATGTTACAGAAACATCTAAAACATTATACAAATGTCTAGACTCTAGAGTATCTCCCACAAGATAAATTTTTAAGCCATAGTTTAAGATAGCACCAAGCTCAGTTTCAAGCATTGGATCAGCAAATCACAGTGATGGTGTCAAATTATAGCCAACACTGCATGATTGCAAATCTTATAGCTACTGCAGATAGAGTAGCCATCCTTGAAGTTGACTATAAGGAGTGGCAATAATTGTGCGAGCAGAAGATGGTGAAACTTATGGCAATTCTAGTGAGGCAGAAATTTTGTAACAATATATTTTATTTAGAAAATATTTTGTTTCAGATAAAAGTATGCAGCAGCGATGGCTCACTGGAGTTTAGGGTCATCACAGGGAAGAAGGTCATAGAAGTGTCACGACTCAAACTCCATCAGAAATGGAGGAGGAAAGTTATATTAATGTAATTAATTCATAATTGTTAACTAACATATTTCTGACCTCATGGAGTGTGCAGAATGTGGCTCTAAGAGGAAATCTGGCTAGCTGCAGCAAAACTGTGACCTGCCTTATTATGCCCAGTGAAGAGAAGGGGTAGGGAATATAACAACTATAAGAAATATTAAAAATGCTTATATTTATACTTATGCTATTATATTATGACATATTGTCTTATATTTGCATTGATTAGATATGCATGCATCTATACAACTTGAAAAATTCATATGGCTATCTACATATAGGGCTTTATAATTTCATAAAACTATAAATCCTGCATGTATCTATATATATAGATATAAATACTAGCCAAAATGCACTGCATAGGCATGCATGTATAAAACTCATGCGGTTAAAAAATCCAGTCCACACACCATTCCAGTATAGTTCAGTACTCCCTCCAATTAAGCATTTACAGACTCGCTATAGGGTATAAATATAGTAGCTATATACAGTTTACAAGCATATACACAACGTGTGGTATGTTGATCACCATGCATCATACTGACCATACATGCAGTACCACTATCAATGATAACATTGTGGCAATGATAGCAGGAGCAATAGCCATCCAATCTGCATGAAGGCAATCCGAAGGTTGTCAGTGTTTCTCCGAGAGAGAGCATCATACACAAACTACATATTTCATTAATCTAAACTGTTTGAAATAGGACAATATTGCTATTATACAGACTTATAGACATATAAACACTAAAGAAACAAGATTACTAAAAATTGTTAATATAAAAAGGGGGAATAGGGATTTAAATAAAAATACAAAAACAAGATAAGTAGCTTAAAGTGAAAATGCAATCACAAAAAAGGAGAATAATCAAGCTTAAGGTTTTAGACAGTGTTGACATTATTTCCTCATGCTACAAATCCCTATTTTGACTCCATGTCTAAAATCTGTAATATTTAGGAGCTTGTTTGTTTACTTTTTTACAGTTGTATTCTCACTTTATGCTACCTATCTTGTTTCTATATTTTTTAGATCTCTATTCCTTCTTTTTAAATTAACAATTTTTAATTATCTTGTATCATCACTTATATCATCCAGAAAGCATTAAGAGTGCACACACAATTTGTTTATACTCATATATACTTGGACTGAATAAAGGAACCACAACAGCCATTTGAACATGTCTACAACATGAGACTGTCCATTCTAATCACTATCACCAAAATAAACAATAAAAGCTTATAATTCACTAAGAGCAAAACAAATGAACCAAGCTGATTTTTGCAACAAGAGAAACATAGATACGCATAATTATATAATAGTAAAGAAATAGTTTTTGTTCTGGACTGTGATCATGGTTGATTTTTATATTAAAACAGATGCAAAACAATTAGAATTTGGGTTTTCTATGCAACATGCTAATTTGACACTCAATAAAATAAGCACTTTCACCAGCATTACTCACTAATTTATGAAACCAACACACTGGTACTCCTATTTCAAGCAATTGTTTGTTCTTCAAAATAATTATATTTTGACAAAACTCTGGGGCCAAATCCAAACTTTATAGTAAATTTCAACTGGTTGAAACCTAATAATAGCAGTAAGCTAGTAACTTTATTAGTTTATAGTTAAATGTGAGGACACAATTCTATGAGTAACTGATATTTACAAATTCTCACTTACTGATGATCCAGTAATTAGTAAGTCATTACTTGAACATACACTGCTTTATCATCTTGTAATGTATTACTGGTCGAAACAATATCAGAGTAATTCATTAGTTTTTGGTTTACTACCATGTGACGTTACATAATCAATCAGAACATTTTATCTGTCAATTGTAAATGAAGACAGTTTTAAGAATTTGTATTAAGAAATAGTAATAAACTTCACCAATAATAATTTACAACATCCTTATTCTTCTGCTGAAAAACTTCAGCATCACTATGACTGAGGTCAAATATATAACACTACATTCATTAATTAACAAATACATTATATTCACACATTAGAATGACACTGTAGTTTCATTTACTAACACAGAATTACACTGTCGTTATTACCGCCAAGGACTTTCTCACTGCTGTGAAAAAAAGTAATATCCGACTTTTTAGTATACTACATATGCTTATAATCATAAAGTAAAGTGTTATATAAAACTTACCGTTTGGGCATATCTCTAATTTCTAACTGTTACTGTGAAGCAGTTATAAATATATAAAGATGATAAACTACGCCCCTTGCAACTGCCCAATAACGTTATTACTAATATTAGTAGTTTCGACAGACTAACAATAACGACAGTTAATAAATCTAGTGTTTTGCTTTGTAATATTACTAATAAATTTCACTCCGAATTTCCTGAGTCAAATTTCAAATTCGAAAGACAGGTCAGCTTAACATTATGATTAACAAACTTACATTTACAAAGTTAACTTACCAATTACACAACTATGATTCACGAAATTAAAAAAAAATATTATACGCACGCCATACAAAATCACTTAAACATTTATTCGCAAGTTAATTAAACTATTATAATATTTCTTATAAAAATACCAATAAACAATTGTATCACTTCCAAAATACTGTGAAAGTTACGTGTTATATATGTTATAAATATAAGATATTTACAATTGCCAAGCCTAGCCTCCTACACTAGATCATTTCCTGTCTATCACAGCCCTCTTTCGAGTATTTTACTCTCCTCGAAAATATCAATTTCTTAAGAAATAACTAAATAATTTTAAACTTTTTTATTTACGCTCTCCGTGAATTTTATTTTCAGAAATTTAGTTGTTTGTTGTCAGCGCGAAGATACACAATGTACTCGGCTTGCCGCGGGTACTGAAACTCGGTTTTATCGTTAAAAGCCCGCAGGATTACCTCTGTTTGACAAAACAAGTCGCCCAGTGGTTCAGCGGAAAGTGTATAGGTTTATAACGTAAAAATTATGTTTCGATACCCACAGTGGACAAAGAACACATAGTCTATTATGTAACTTTGTGCTTTACAACAAAAGTAATTTGCATTGTGCGCACTCAAAGCATAATATTCCTTTGCAATTTTGAATAAAAAATTCAAAGAATCTGAGAAAAAAGTTACAGCTGCTTTGAAACAAGAAAGAAATTCTTATCAATGAAATATCGAAATAGATTTTGTCTGCTTGTGATTAACACCCAGTCTGCGAGGTGGGTTGATTTCCAAGCAAAGTTTTCCTCTACTCTCTTGCTTTTTAAATTCTTCATAAATATTTTGAACTCCTTGCGACATCAGGAATTTGAATTGCCTAACAGCGTAGCCGAATTCGCACTAGTTTCCAGTATAATCTATACCCAAATCCAAAATGTGGTAGTGGCCGCACATTTTGCGTCATACAGTATCCGGTTTCTTGGTTCTATAAAGTCGCTTTCTCTGCATTTTTCGAGAATTTATATATAAACAAATATCTGTACGCATGCTTGTCTGTCTGTTATCTAACTCCTCCAAAGCCGCTGGGCCAGTCTTAACCGAATTTTGTGGGATGATAGTTTGCAACAATCCTTCCACCCCACTATTGCTGTTATTGAGCATTAGTCGTAAACAGGCGATTAAAATGAGCACTATAAAACAATAATGAATTTAATATAAATTAAGCTTTAAATTTTTTATTTTAAAATTATATTGCAATTTTACAGTTGTAACCTTAAAGTTATAACGGAATAAATAAAATAAAGATATACATAACTCATCCAACAACATGCATAAAGTCTGATCCACTTTGCCTCCACCTTATCCTCCAATCTGGCAGTCAAACATTTACTGGTCACAGTGGTAGCTTTTATTATCTCCTTTCGTTTGGCCTAGGTTTTTTTTTTTTTTGTCTGTACCAGTTTGGTTCACATTTGAAATACGTCGCCTTGAAATTCTAATGGCTGAGATGGTCGTCCCCTGTTGTACAGGACCTAAATCTTAGTCTACTATGCAGCCATTTTCTGTCAGTGCCATTTGAGTAGGTGGAGCGGGGTGGTTAGTAATGACAGGTAGTGGAGTGGTTGGGAGCTCAACCTATGGCTGCAACTTGGTAAATCACTAACCTCTTAGTGGTCGTGGTGACGGCTCAATTACCATTGATGTGAAGGTCCATCTCTTGGTCTTGATGATACGGTCATGGTTGGCCAAGCAGTTGATGTTAATGCTACCTCATTCCTGGTGAACTCCCTTCGTGGTAGGGAAGATGGTCTAGTCACCATCTGGCTTATTTCAATGGCCATTGTGGTCTTTGCCATGATGACATCTGATATGGCTGCAGTCTGTCAGGGGGACCTCTCTTGTTTGGATCTACTCAGAGCTTGGTCAACTCTCGAGAGAATTGGAGCTTCAAAACGCTTTTCGTATTATTATTTATACTGTGATCTCGTCAGAGAGATGAACACATCTGACATTAATAGTGCTTCTTGATGGGACACCCTCTAATGAGACATTTTACTGTTGGTTCTAAATCACTTCTAGGCATTAGTGGTGTTGACTGCCACTGATGTGCCTGATGGCTCAGCTTCTCAGATGTTGAGGTGGTCATAGCCTTTCTCCATCACTTGTGGAGGCTTGGATTCCATTAGAACTTTAATATCTACTTGACCCCAGGCCTAGTCCAACAATTAGCGCAGCATGCTCTCCCACATCAGAAAGCAAACTATTTTTATCTAGGGGCTGAGTGACGGTGAAAGTTAAGCCTGCTTTAGTTTTGTAGTCCAAGTTCTCATTGAAGAAGAATGTTTAGATATGCTTGTTCACATCGTCTCAGTTCTCTAGCAAATTCTCTGAGAGTAGTCAGCAACAAACATAATGGCAGAAACAAGAAATCAATAACAATTAATAATATGATCTTAAATAGCAGAATTGTAAGCTATAAAACATGTTCATAATGCTTAGTTACTTCCAAGCTACGATCAGAAATTGCTTTTACAGTATGAAAACAATTACCTTGGTCAATCAATATTTCTATAGGCTTCACATGTACTCATGCCTCTGTCATCTGTAGAACATGTACCTCTAACAGCTGTGAATGATTTTACCCACAATTTTCATTGGCTCTCCACTTGACCAACACATATATAGCCATGCTGCCCACTGTTGTCTCTTCTGTACCACAACTAACCCTTTGATCCAATCGCATTCTTTCTGTTATGGTCTGATTGTATGCAAACAGAGCCTAGGTATGGTAGGGGAAAAAATGTGAACGAGATTGCAGATATTCGATTCCTACACACAATAGCTGATTTAGCCTAGCCACTGTACAAGTGCTAACTTGTAAGTTCTGATCATGAGAACCCACTAACACAACATCTCCCACTCAAGACTTTTTCCAAATAGTATTAGCCAGTTGTAACTTAAAAAGTGGCACTGTGCAGGTCTTAATTTGCATCTTCGACAGTACGCTCACAGCCTGCATTTTAGGATGTTTTAGTTGCACCTTGTATTGAAACAATGCTAAGAAAATATTCAGAAACTAAGTGCTTGTAAAATATTTCAATAATCATAATTGAAATATCTAATCATAACCAAATAAATCATCAGTTAAAGTATGTTTATATTTAATATACTGGCCATGAATTTCATTTACTACTGATAATTTCAACCACCCATGAATCTTTTGATTCAATTCAATTGAAATAGCTGGCACTATTCTTACCAAAAACTTACAGGTAAAACTGTTTTCTCTTAGACACAAAGTGAGTTTCTTTGTTATTTTTATTCTTCCATGAAAATTTTCTACTTGTCGAATATTTCAGTGTCCAAAAATACCTTGCAGGTCAATAATCACAGTTAATTTTATATCCAAGGTTTTAACATCTAGATTAAATCCTCTATTTCCATTCACATATTACTTACAGTTGTGTTCTTTGTGTAATCAATCCATTTGTGTTATTCAACACTCATAAATGACTTTTGTAACATCCACAAATGTGATGAAACCACATATGGACATTTATTTATACACATATATTGCTATATACACTATATAAATATATCAACATTATACATAACATACACTAGTAGCTTAAAACAACTTTCCTGCTGGTGCACAATTACTTTCACAAGTCGTATGTCAATAGTTGCATACACTTTTCAATGTATTACAGGTAGAATATAGCAGGGATCATGAAGTATGTTCCATAGAACTCCTGCCACTTAGCTAGATAAGGCATGAATTCCAGCAATATTTATTAGTGAGTCTTAACA